TATGTATGTATATATATAATGTGTATTTAACAGTGAATTTATCTGACATTGATTTCATTTACATTTCTTGTTTCTTACTAGGTTAATTCTGTCAATTAGGTAAAAGTTGAATGATATTTATATAGATTTAGTGTAAAAATAAAGTTAATACATTCCATTGGATTAAATAGAAGGAGTTTTAATACGATGCAAACAAGTTATAAACTTTGGCATTAGGTTGAGAACAATCATATGGTTAGTGAAATTATTGAATAACAATGCTTGATGAATACACAAGTCTATAAACTTTTTTCCAGTTAATTTATGTGCATTTGTCTATCTCTCAAGTAAGTAATGCATTCTTAAGAAATATCTACTTTAAAAAAAAAAAAAAAAAAAGAAATATCTACTTTAAATATGCCAGCCAGAGGAGTGCACATGAGTAACAATATATGCTCAAGTCATAATTATACTCCTGGATATGTTCATTAGCAAATGTACTCATAAAGCAGATAGGCAACATACATATATTCTTGCATATATACATATCCACTCTTCAGAATCTGTTCCTAAAACAATAGGGGAAGAAAAAACAAAGTCCATTTCCTGTAAGGAGTAATCAAGTTATTATTAGGGGAATAATTAACTGTAAAGTGATCTCAGAGCATTTGGCAATAAAATAAAATAAAATAAAATGCCCAATAGTCATGCTTGTTGAATTAAAGTGCTAAATTTGGCTGTGACATTTTTAAAAGAGCCAGAGTGGGGGGTCAAGTGAAGTTGAGAGATTTTTTTATAATACAAACCAAGTTCTTTCATTACTTAATAATAATACCCACCTGTTTTAAGGCATTAATTTTCTCTTCTTTTGTTTCAACATAATAGTTCTTAAAAAAGGAGATAAGAGCCTCACTATCACTCATGGAGATGTCTTCACCAACAAATGTGTCCAGCAGTTGTACAAACTGTAGCAAATTGAGGGAAACTCCATTGAATGCAGTCCTGCCTTTTTCTTTCCGAGACTGAATATCTCTAATAATTGAGTGTAGTTCTGTCAAGTATCAAACACACAGCATGTAGTCAAAAATCCTTTCAAAGCTTAGAAAGAATATATGTAAATATCTATTGTAATGGGCATCTGCTATTCTTCCTTATTGGACATCCATGTTCCTTTCATGAGGTTCTTTTCCTTTCTCTCTCATTACCACTGAGTCAGAATGAACTCTGAGCTGGTCTTCCATTGGGTTTCTGAGGCTGTAAATCATATGGGTGACTGCCTATCTTTATCCCAAGGAGCCCATAGTGAACATAAACCACCAAAGAGGCATGGCCTTTGAGTTAGCAGTGCAACTCCCTAGAAGGTAGGCCAGCAGAGCTCTCTTTCATGAGGTGTTGGTGTTGTTTGTATGTGCTATGGAGTGGATTGCAATTCAGATCTGAACCCTGCCCTATCCTGTGTTATCCTCACTCTCTCTGATACACTTGAGCACATTTATAGTCATCATGTCAATCCATCTTGTTGAGAGTCTTCCTCTCTTTTGCAGACTCTTTACCTTTTCAAGAATGACATTGGCCCCTCCTAACAACATACTCAAGATATGAGATGAAGTTTCATCATCCTTGCCTCGAAGACATCCTTTCTCCAAGACAGAATGTTATAATCTCTTGGCAATGGCAATCCATAGGATTCTCAGTACTCGTCTCTAACACAATTCAAAGGCATCAATGATTCCTCTATCATCCTTAGTCACTGTCCAACTTTCAAAAGCAAAGGAAGTAGTTCAGAAGACCCTAACTTGAATAAGGCACATTTTAAACTGACATCATTGCTCTTTAATCCTCTGGAGAGATTCTAGAGAGCATATTTTCCCAGTACAATTTGTCTTTTAATTTCATAACTGTTGGTACCAAGGGTGTTGACTGTAAATCAAAGTATGATGAAATTGTTGACAACTCCAATCTTACTCAAGATCTATCATGATGTTGCCTATTGACCCGTGGTGAGGACTTTTGTTTTTTTGATGTTGAGATGGGATCCATAGTAAAGGTTGTAGTCTTTGATCTTCTGTACCAAGCAATTCAATTCAAGTCATCTGCACCTTCAGCAAGTGAAGGGGTGTCATCTGTATAATGTAGATTGTTGATTCTTCTTCAAATCCTAGTGCCACACTCTTCTTCATATAGTTCAGCTTCTCAAGTTATACAAATTGAATAGGTATGGAGAAAGTAGATCTGCATAATGAATCCGACTACTAACCAAATAGTCTGTGGTTTGAATTCATCAGACTCTCAAGGAGAATGATGGCACTCTGGTGGCCTAGTGGTAAGAAGCTGTGCTGCAATGCCAAAGGGAGGAGGTTGGAATCCACCAGCTGCTTCATGGGAGAAGAATGGGCAATCTCTTCCCATGCAATTTTACTGCTTCTAAAAATCCACTGGAGCATCAGCTATGGATCGCTTCCAACTCAATGGCACAAAACAACAAGAAAGAAAGATGGGCAGGCTCCTTTCATAAAGAGGTGCAGCCTCAGCAATGCAGTTCAGGGTCTCTGTGAGTCAGAATCAACACCATGGCAGTGGATTTACTTGTTTATATAAAACTTAAAATAATAACAAAGTATTCTGAACAATGAATACTTGTTAGAACAGTAGTTGTTAAATACATCATTTATCTGGAAACTAAAACTCAATCTTTGTTCTATTGAGGAGACTTTCTTTGGAAGGCTTCAAAAACAAGACAGATTTTCACGTATTTTATATCTTTGGATGCGGACGTATTGGAGATAGTAATAGTGCTAATAATTTTGATTGAGTTTTAATATCTAAAATATGATTCCCTTTGTATGCATGTTCATAGCTTCAAAGTAGTTTCAGAGCCATATAACGGTAAAAAAAAATAGAAGAACCTTTGTAGGCTGTGGTTGAGAACTCAACTGCCAACTGAAAACTGGCAATTCTATCTTGCGAGGCTCTTCTAGGAGAAAGATGTGGCAGTCTGCACCAGCGGTAGTTCTGTTCTGTCCTTTAGGGCCACTGTGAGTTGAAATCAACTCAACACCAGTGGATCTTATTTGAGAATAGGCAAAGATAAAATGTATACCTGATATCATAAGGTAGCTCTGGTGGTCTAGTAGTAGAGAGCTGTACTGCAAACCTAAAGGCAGGTGGCTTGAATCCATTAGGGTATAGCACAGGATTATGATACAGAGAGTACCAGCAAGGTACATGGTAATTGCAAGTTACACACTTTATTGGGGCCATGATGTCTGAATCTATTTATAACTTCACATAAAATTAATCCTAAGGTAAGGCATTAAAGGCAATTCACATATTAACAACAAATCAAGCATTAATATCCAAACAATCATGTCTAACATCAAGAATCATTGTACCAAAAAGAATTGGCTGTCATATATTAACAACAAATCAAGCATTAATATCCAAACAATCATGTCTAACATCAAGAATCATTGTACCAAAAAGAATTGGCTGACACTGAAATATTTCGGGAAGTACCATATGATCCTTGTAGGAGCATATACTTGAAGACCCATTAATAAAACTATTATTCAAGTATATGCTCCTACATCTAGTGCCAAATTTTGCACTCTGAAATTGATTGAACATGCAATCAGGATGTGTTAATGATAATTGGTGACTGGAATGCAACAATAGGAAACAATGAAGACTGAACAGTAGTGGGAAAATACGGGCTTGGTGATAGAAATAAGGCTGGAAATAGAATGATTGAATTTTTTATTTACAATGATTTATTAATTGTAAATACTTTTTATAAAAGACAGAAAAGATGACTTTACACATGGATTTCACCCAATGGGCTGCATTGGAATCAGATTTACTATATTTGTAGAAGAAATCACTGGAGAAGCTCAATATCAGCAGTCAAAACTAGGTTGGGGCAGACTGTGGGTCAGATCATCAATTACTCATAAGTAAGTTTAAACTGAGACTGTTGAAAATGAAAATAAGTCCACAGGAATGAAGATATGATCTTGAGTCAATTCCATCAGAATTTCATGATCATCTAAAGAATAGGTTTGAGGCACTGAACATCAATGATAGAAGATCAGATGAATTGTGGGATGATATCAAGGATATCATCCATGAAGAAAGCAAACGGTCATTACAAAAACAGAGGAGAAAGAAAACCCTGAAATGGATGTCAGAAGAAACTAAAGATTGTCCTGGAATGTCGAGAAGTCAAATCTAAAGGAAAATGTGTTGAAGTGAGAGAACAGACAGTGTTAAAGTGCAGCTTAGAAGGACAAAGCAAAGTATTATAATGGAATGTGCAGAGAGCTGGGATTGGAGAATAAAAAGGAAAGAATGCACTCTTCATTTTTCAAGCTGAAAAAAACTGAAAAATGTAAGCCCTGTGTAACAATGTTGAAAGATGCTATGAGCAATATATTGAATGACCCAGAAAGCATCAAAAAAAGATGGAGGGAATACACAGAATCACTGTACCAGAGAGAACTGATTGACACTGAAAAATTTCCAGAAGTACCATATGAACAGGATCCAATGGTAATGAAAGAGGAAGTGGAAGCTACATTGAAAACATGGGCAAAATATAAGGCCCCAGGAATCGATGGGATACCAATTGACTTGTTTCAATTAACAGATGCAGCCGTGGATGCACTCACCAGTCTATGCCAGGAAATACGGAGGATGGCTGTCTGGCCAACAGATTGGAAGAGATCCATATTTGTTCCTATTCCAAGAAGAGTGATCCAACAGAATGTGGAAATTATCGAACAATATCATTGATATCACATGAAAGCAAAATACTGCTGAAAATCATTTAAAAACAACTGGAATTGGGAATTGTCAGAAGTTCAAGTGAGATTTAGAAGAGGTTGTAGCACCAGGGATATCATTGTTGATGTCAGATGGATCCTGGCTAAAAGTACAGAAAACCAGAAGAATATCTATCTGTTCTTTATTGACTATGCAAAGGCGTTTGACTATGTGGATCATAACAAGTTGTGGCTGACACTGAGGAGAATGGGAATCCTAGAGCACTTGATTATGCTTCCTGGACCAGGAAGCTGTTGTGTGAATGGAGCAGGGGAACACTGCATGGTTTGGAATTGGAAAAGGAGTGTGTCAGGGATCCATACCTATTCAATCTATATGCTGAGCAAATTATCTGAGAAGGTGAACGCGATGAAGAGGAAAGTGGCATCTGGATTGGAGGGAGACTCATCAATAATCTGCGTTATGCAGATGACACAATTTTACTTGCTGAAAGTGAGGAGGATTAGAAGCACTTGCTGCAGAAGATCAAGGAATTTAGCCTTAAGTATGGATTGTGTCTCAAGATCAAGAAAACAAAGATTTTTACCACTGGACCAATAGGCAGTGTCATGATGGATGGAGAAGAGTTTGAAACTGTCAACAGCTTCATCTTGCTTGAATCCACAATTAACACCTTTGGTATGAGCAGTCAGGAAATACGGAGATGCATTACACTGGGAAAATGTGCAGTTAGGGACCTTTCCAAATTATTGAGGAGTAGTGATGTCAGTTTGAGGACTAAGGTACATCTGCTGATTCAGGCCATGGTCTTTCTGATCACTAGCTATGCATCTGATACCTGGACAATGAATAAGGATGACAGAAAGAGAATTGATGCCTTTGAGCTGTGGTGTTGGAGAAGATCACTGAACATCCCATGGACGGCCAAGAAAATGAATAGCTATGTCTTAGAGAGGGTGCAGCTGGAGTGCTCTTTGGAGGCAAGAATGATGAGGCTTCACCTCCCATACTTTGGATATAGTGCTGGGAGGTGCTATTTCTTGGAGAAGGACATGATGTTGGGAAGGATGGAGGGTCGGCGAAGGAGAGGAAGACCCTCAACCAGATGGATTAGCAAGGTGACTGCTATTGTATGTCAGGAAGTCTGAGGATGGCACAGGACAGGACTAGGTTCAGATCTTTTGTTCACAGGGTCGCTATGAGTCTCACTCGACTTGATGGCACCTAACACCACCACCAACACCACCAAATGACCAAGAGCCAAAGGTGATGAAGGAAGAAATTCAAGAGGTCATTGCACCAGGGATAGCATTGCTGATGTCAGATGGATTCTACATGTCTATTTGAGTTTTCTTGACTACGCAAAGGCATTTGACTATCTGGATCATAACAAATTATGGCTAACATTGAGAAGAATGGGAATCCCATAACACTTACTTGTGCTTGTGTAAAACCTAGACCTCGATCAAGAGGCTATTGTGTGAACAGAGCCAAGGAACACTATATGGTTTAAAATGAGAAAAAGTGTGCCTCAGGGTGGTATCCTTTCTCCATATCTATTTAATCTGTAGGCTGAACAAATTATTTGAGAAGCTGAACTCTATGGAGAAGAAAGTGGCATTAGGATTGAAAGAAGACTTATTAATAACGTTTGTTATACAAAGGACACAACCTTGCTCACTGAAAGTGAAGAGAACTTGAAGCACTTTCTGCAGAAGATCAAAGACTAAAGACTTCAATATGAATTGTATCTCAATGTCAAGAAAACAAATTCTTGCCCTGGACCAATAGGCAACATGATAGATGGGGAAAAGACTGAAACTAGCAACAACTTCATCTTACTTGAATCCACAATCAATACTTGGTACTAGTAGTCAGGAGATCAAGAAATACATTGCACTGGGAATTCTGCAGTCAGGGACCTCTCCAAATTATTGAGAAGTAATGTCAGTTTGAGGATTAAGGTGCATCTGAATCAGGCCACTGTCTTTAGTCACTTGAAATGCATCTGAGAGCAGGACAATGACTAAGGATGACAGAGGAAGAATTGATGCCTTTGCACTGTGGTTGGAGAAGATTACTGAATATCCCATCAACTGCTAAAAGAACAAACAGATCATGTCTTAGAGAGGGTGCAGCCAGAGTGTTTCATGGAGGCAATGACAATAAAGCTTCAAGTTGCATACTTTAGGCGTGTTGCTAGGAGAGGTTATTTCATGGAAAGGGACGTTATGCTTGGAGAGGGGGAAGGATGGCAAAGGTGAGGAAGACTCTCAACCAGGTGGATTGACACGGTGATTGTAGCAATAGGCTTGAGAGTGTCAGAGATTGTGAGAATGGCACAGGATGGGACAGAGTTCAGATTCCCATCATATCTTAGCTAAGCCTATCTTTATGAGGGGAAACTACAGCAAATTTAATCCATCAATTGGAATGCCATCGATGCTTCCTAGTTTCATTTAGACACATACCTGTGAATCTGGAGTTACTATAAATTATGTTTGCCTGTTCTTCATCTTCAAATTTGGCATATTTTGTTTTCCAGTTCCAAGTCAAAAATTCACCTATTTAAAAAAATACACTCTAATAGCATAGTCAATTTAACTTCACTTCAACTTTTGTTCTAGATAGGATTAAATGAGTAGTTACCTGACCATGACTTTCCTTCTATTTTAGAGGACTTGGGTTCACAGGACTTTGATTTTGGGCCCTTTTTTGCACTTCCTAGAAGGTATAAAAGAAGATGCTGTCAGTTGGGTATATTAGAACTAAAATTCTATTATACAGTGTAAGGTTAATGAATGAAAGAAATGTCTTACACACAGAACTTTTAAAAATAAAAACCCACAAAAATCTTGACTAACTTCATTTTCAGTATTTTCCCAAATATGCTATGAAATACCAAACCATAGCAAAAAGCCCAATTTTAAATGCTAGTAGCTGTTGTTGTTGTTAGGTGCTGTCAAATGAACTACAATTCTGTGAACAACTGATCAAAACCTTGCACTATCTTGTGCCATCCTCACAATCTCCACCAGGCTCAAGTTCATCGTTGCAGTAACTGTGTCAATCCATCTCAGAGTGTCTTCCTCTCTTTCTCAGTATTAGGTCTTTCTCCAAAGACTAGGCCCTCCTAACAACATGTCCAAAATATTTGAAACAAAGTTTCACCATCTTTGACTTTAAGGAGACCTGCTCTGTAGCAAAATCTGTGTGTTGTCTCCCAATTTGACCACCCAAAATGAAGGCTACTTTTTCCAGTGCCCCTCTCAGCTAGATGTCATTCATTATATGCTTAAATTCTGACCAATGAAATAGGAGAAGGAGTGATCTGGTGCTTGCCTCTTCTTCTTTTTCCTTACCTACCAGCTTAAATGTAGACTTGATGGTGAACCAACTTAGACCAGGTGGCTGAAGGTCCCATAAGACAGAAGGAGCTTGAGATTAAGCTTCTATAAAAGTTTTGAGTTTTATATAAGAAAGAAAGAAACCTCTATCTTGTTCAGACAATGGTAATTTGAACCATCACTAAAAAGCATTTAATTGAATTAATGCCTCAATTAGATGTTTTCATAATGGTAATTCAAATTACTAACCTTTAATTGGAGAGATTTAAAAAAAAAAAATCTACACTCCTACTATGTAAGAAAAGTCAGAAATTAGTACCTTTTTTTGTAGAGAAACACATATAAATTTTCAAAAGCCCAAAGATTTCAAATTAGCCAATGAGAGAATCTAGAACAAAGGTTACTCATTACCTAGGGGTTTTAAATAAGAACTTTCTTTGAAATCTGAGTCTTTAGAATTACTTAAACCACACACATAAATCCCCGCAAAACAAACTGATTTCCATGAATCAATACCTCATTGTAAGCATATAGGATAGAGTAGAATTGCCTCATAGGGTCAAGGTTTAACATTTTTACCAAAGCAGACTACTATCTTTCTCTCACAGATTTCTCTGATTAATTCAAATTGTTGACCTTTTTGTTAGTAGCTAAGCACTTAACCACTGTGCCACCAGGGCTTCTTTAGATTTATAACTTTAAAATAATTAAACCTAACTGACACAAGCTTAAAGATTTCTAGAAGCTCTGATACAACATAACATGTATGTGATACATAGATAACGGAAAGAAAAAATGTCCTTATGACTTAGCAAGTATTGTATCAGGGTGCGAACTGAAAGGTTGGCAGTTTGAATTCACAATCTTCTCCCACAAAGATTTATAAGCTTAGAAATCACAGAGAAAGAATATCAGTGAATACCAAATGGAGTATATTTGGTTTTTAATCTTTGAATAATTGGGTTTCTTTGCCATATAATATCTGTGGTATACCCATTTATAGTGGGCTTTTGTCATCTTTGAATTACTGCAAACTCAAGAATATAATTTAAGAAATATTTACCTAAAAAAAAAATCAGATAGAGATTCACTATGAGTTGGGGTTGAAAACCAACTTGATGGCAGTAGGTTGTTGGTGGTTTCACATAGCTGAATAAAAAATAGTAGTACTCATATGACAGTTGAAACATAAGACATTTTAAAAGTTATTTCTATCATTAGACTTTACATTTAGGGAATTAGCTTTGGTTGCCTTTTTCAGAGAACAAATCAAAACATTTCTATGACTAAAAAGAGTGCATTTCTTCTTCACAGATAAATTTGTGGTGAAAAAAAGAGAGTCTTGGCAAATTGGCAATGGAGATATTCTACTTTGCTTTTGATTGTTAAAGTTATAGATTCATACTGAGTAGCAACTCATGTCTAATGTTTGCATGCCCTAATATATCAGAAAAGACTCTCTTTCAGTGGGCACATTCTGAAAACATTTTCCATATCACCCCACAAAACAGGGAGCTGACAGGGTCAGAGAAGTGCATTCCTACCTGAAAGATCTTTTCCACTTGACGTTAGAACGTCTTGCAGCTCTGAATGTTCAGCCAATTCTCCTTCATGCATTTGCTCCTGAAGCCCTTCTTCCTGTGGAGAGACCTCCACATCCTCCCCATATTTTACAGTTGATTCTGAAGTTGAGTGCATGTTCTGATTTTCTGGAAGGACCTCTCTATCACGTTCTTCTATCATTAACTCTCCATGTGATTCTTGTTCTTCATCTGACTCCTTATGTGACCCTTTTTCTAGCATTGATTCTTTATGTTGTTCTTGGTCTTTGGTTGACTCTTTACTTGACCTTTGTTCTACCACCGATCCACCAGGTGACTCTTGGTCTACAGTTGATCCTTGGGATGATCTTTCTTTGAGCTGCACTTGTGCTGTTGATTCTGTGCGAAGCCCTTGTTCTGTAGTTAATCCTGGGTGGGTTTCTTGTTCTTCAATTGACTCTTTGAGAGTTTCCTCTTCTGAATTTGATCCTGTGGGAATTCTATGTTCTGAAGGTGACACTCTATCTGGCTCTTGTTCTGCTATTGGCTCTTTCTGTTGCCATCCCTTTATTGACTCAAAACTTGATCCTTCTCCATTTGACTCTCTATAAAGTCTTTGACTTAGTTGTAAGAGTCTAGTCAGTTGCCGTTCTATATTTGTCTCTTTATCTTGGTATTGTTCTTCTTTTGACATTCTTTGCAGCTTTATTTCTGGAATTGCCCTTTTCCTCGGTTTTTGTTCATCTTCTAGTAACTCATTTTGCATTTTGCCATCTTTCTCCCCTGAAATTAATGCATTCATCTGTGAGACTGCATCATCAAAGTCTTCATAAATGTGTTTCTGCTTATCCATGTCTCCCCAGAACTCAGGTAAATCCATCTCTTCAAATTCAATTAGTGGCCCTAATGCAGAAAACAAAACATTTACCTAAACAATTGGTCTTCCAATGTCAAATGAAAGCAATCGAATAAAATATTATGCAAAAAAAAGGAGCCCTGGACAGAGTATAACACAAGCCTGTTGTCTTAAATAAGTATTGTCTGTTCTGCAACAATGAAAAAATTAAAAAAACGAACAAACCCCCAAATACCTAAAGGAACATAAAAATAAAAGTGTTCACTACTATAAAGTAGAAATAATCACCTTCTAAAAAGTATAGCTATAGAAACTTTTGCTACTTGGAGAGTTGCTTAGACTGCCGAGGCAAACAGAATTTCTGCCTTTCATCTTCTGATCTTACCTTACAAGCATAAGTTAGGATCAGAAATAAGCCATAAATCTTTCATCTTGAATCTTTTCAACGATGGCAATATAAAAATAAAATCAAGAGTTTGTTCCTGATTGTCTTTCAGAAGGCTGTATTTTTCCAGTAGTCATTTCTTCCCCCTCTCGCTTTCCTTTCTAATTAATTCCTCAATATTTTTCCTTCACCATTACGTGATCATCTGAATTCTAGGGAAAGACTGAATAGCACTCACTATAATTACATCACTAAAGGAATAAACCTGGTCGAACTTATAAGCTTACCTTTTTCTTCTCCAAATGTTTAGTGGTAATACTTGTGTCACAAGTAATTACTTGAGTCACAAGTAGTACTTGTGACTCCTACAATTTTCAAGAAAATTACGTATTTATCACTCATCTATTCTTAAATAACTGATCAATACAGTCTCCCACAAAACTTAAGTCTTGCCATTCTTTTGAATACACAGCCATTAAAAAAACCAATAATGAGGGAGTTCTGGTGGCCTAGTGGCAAGAAGTTGTGCTATAATCCCAAAGGCATATGGTTTGAATCCACCAGATACTCTGCTGGAGCCTCCTGACTTAAAGGTACACAACAAGAATAAAAAGAAAACCAAAAAGCTATTAATGGCTTTTTAAAAAACCAATAATGGTATCTCATTCAATAATAATATAAAAAGAATGTTCTACTATACAAGTCGATAAATATATACAAATAAAAAATTCTTGGGAGAAGGAAGTATTTGTCTTAGAAATGTCAGAATTAAAAGTTGAGCATTGAAACGGCAATTGTCATTACAAAGTTAATTTCCAAAATATTCATGCTAAAGCTAAAGTACTTCATCATTTGATTGAATTTAAAATAGAATTCTAGCTGTGCTCTCACATTACAACCTACAGTGTTGTGAAAAACAGGTTGGGATTAAAATTAAACTTTGTAAGAAATTAACAACTACAGATAACTATCCTGATTCAAGGGAGATATTATGGTAAAGGAATTCTGTATGTTATCATTAATGCTTACTTTATCACATCAACATAATGCAGCATCTCAGATTTAGCAAGGTCCCTCTTGAGTGGCACTTACATTGTCTTGGATTTCGGAGCAATGTTCTAAGCATTTTTGGACTTTGGTCATAGAATATTTCCAGCAAAGTCAATGTCCTTTGTCGATCCAAAAATCCTACCTAAGTAGAAAGCTTGTAATGAATTGCTAGAAGGTTTAGAATTTTTATGTAATGAAATATGGTTTATCATATCATCACTACCATTATTTAAATAGAATCTACAGAGCCAGAATATATTTATGTTGTACCCGCCCATCTGTGACATGACAAAATGGTTTGCACTTAGTCAGTGCTAACATACATACTTTTTGTTACTAACTTATTTATTGAAGAGTCCATAATATAATATCCAGTTCTTCTGTATCCTGACATAGCTACTTAAAACTATTAACTGCTCTTCACTTATTCTTTTTGTTTTAAGAAAAAATTTCATCTCAGAAAAATAGAAAAGTTATAAAATTAACACTTTTGTGAGTCCCAAGCCCAGAAATTACAATTGCTAATTTTTGTATGTAATTTAAAAATATATAATGGAGATTATAATACATGTATTGAAATAGTTTTTTAATTTACCCAACACTGAAATCTAACTCATGTAGTAAATAAATGTTTTCCTTTTCCTTTTAAGAGCTGTATAGTAGCCTCAATATAAAAACAGCATGATTTTTAAGACTTTTTATTGTGATTTTAATGGAAGTTTACAGAAAGGTTGGGTTTTCACTCATTGCATTCATTCACTGATGTACATCTTCCTCCCTCCGCCAACTCACTTTGTAATGTACTTTTTGTTCCAGATTATGAATTGTTCTACATATACATTAATTTTAGATAGCCCTTTCCTTCATCTATTCATTATCCACTAAGTAGATATTCAAGCCTACTCACTTCACCCACACACGTCAATCCTATTTTACAACATTGGTCTTATAAAGTATTTGCCCTTTTGTGACTGAGCTATTTCACTCAGCATAATGTCTTCCAAA